CCAGGTCGTCCCAGTGACAAGCCTGCTTTATCGGGTTGGTGATGTGTGAGTAATTTTACTGGGGAGAAATACAAATCCTTACCTCCAGGGATGTAAAACTCGGGACTGAGTGACTCATTGCTGAGGCCTGCCTCGTTCTCTGCCGACACTCCCACACGAAGCTGCTTGCACACCGGTATATTGCCAAAAGTCAGTTGTAACGATACCGTGGTTGTTGTGCATGTCACATCCGTACTCACGTAAAAGTTTACCAGAAAATGCGCTGCGTTTGGGCTGACTGCCCAGCTCACATTCGCCATTCGCTTTTGTATATTCACCTCCAGTGAGAGGATTTCAGGTGGACTGGGCCGGTCGTCTGAGGTAATCGAATTTTTCAAGTTAAAACATGCACCTGAAAATCCAAAAATATTTAACTAACGTTGGTTTTCTCAAAGCAAATGGTTGCCACTCGAAGGCAGGCTTAAAACGGAAACGCGCCTTAAAAGACATGCTCCTCGTCATGGAATTTATAGCGGATATATTCCTAGAAAACAACAAAGTAGAGGAACAAACTACACAATTTCAAAGTGAACAATCGCTCCAGAGGGATGCCCAAAAAAGGCTAAGCGTCATACATTCGAGATGGATTAATTTCTGCTTCCGAAAAAGAGCACACAAATATTAATTACCGAAAACGGACACGGAAATACTCGGTTCATTCAGCATATAAAACCAGTGAATCATAGTCACATTTTGGCAGATATAAAGAAGAGGTGTTCCATATTACAGAGAATGAAGAGATATATTTCAAAATCAGTGAAAACTAACGAGTTTCGGCTCTCTTGGCCACCGTTAAGTCGGTTGGGTGGTACATGTGTTGCCAGTGCCTAACCATCAGTAGCCGAGGCGAGTGCAGTTTTCCATGGCCAACTCAGAGTAGCGGAGGCAGAGAGGTGGCCAAGCGTTGTTTTGGCAGAGTGGTATGAAGTAGATTACGAAACGTTTAGATGCTATCGGTGCGACACGCCTAAGATGATGAGGAATTCGTGACCACCTCCTTCCCTTGTTTGAGATATTGCAAGATACGCCTGCAAAACGATCGCACTGGCAATCTTGTTGACAGATTCTAGCAACGTTGTCTCAATGAGCTTATGTAGGTGAAGTCAAATAAGCACGGTGGCGGGAAGCTCCCACTGAGTCCCTCGCGTATAGAGTTACACTGTCCATCAAAATAAGGGTGTACGA